CTACGGCCAGGAGCAGGGCCAGAGACTGGAGTCGCTCAGCTAGAGTTGGAGTCCCCGCCCCGAGCCCCGAGCCCCGAGCCCTGAGCCCCGAGCCCGAGCCGGGATCTGGACGTCGCGGGAGAGTTTCCTGCTTTCTCAAAGCCCCCCCGAGTCGAGAAAGGAGGCTCTGTCGGACTCTGTCCTGCCTGACTTTAGAACAGAAACCCTCCCTCCTTTTTCCGGGCCCTTAGGGAAACTGAGGCACAAAGCCCAAGATCGCTCCTCTAGCTCTCAAAACCCCGGCTCCATTTCCTCGCAGGTCCCGGGAGATTGGGGAGGTTTGAGGAAGGAGTTGGGGGCGGGGGGCGGGGGTGGAGAACGATCCCACGCGTGTCCACCCCTTCGCCCGCAGTCACCCGGTTTGCAACGGAGAGCCAGGGGGTGAGGTGGGGCGTCCTGACCCTAGTCTAGCAGTTTCTGTAGGAGACTCAGGACCGGGATAAGAGTGCGGGGAGAGAGCCCCGGGACGCCAGGCAGCTCGCCTCGATTTGCATACTTTTGCATATTGCTCTGCTAGGACACGTTGTATGACTTGGTTTCACCTTTTTGAGGAGACTGATGGGGAGCCAGGGAGCGCGGGACAAAGACAAAGCAATATTTCTCCGGTGAAGGCCAGTGCAAGAGAAGAGATGGGCTTGATGCAAAAGTCCTGCAAATCTGTTAAAACCTGACAACTTTGTCCTCCCGGGTTGGGGGCGGGGGGCATGACCCCTCCCTCAGTCCCAGCCTGCTTCTGACTTTTCTGGAGTTCTTTTTACCTGCATCTCCCTGTCCCACAACCTCACCCCATTCTCTCTCTCTCTCTCTCTCTCTCTCTCTCTCTCCCTCTCTCTCCCAGGCTAGGACAAGTGGGGTGTCAGGGGGAGAGAGAGGCCAGCCTTCTTATCTGGGGTCAGGCCCTGCTGATGGGTGAGCATGGGGTTGTGGCCAACCCCCAGGTTCTGTGTGATGAGATCACCTTCGTTGGGTGACGGCTTCTGACCAGGGAGGAGGCAGGTGAACAGGTCTAGAGCCAGAGAAGTGGCTGCTGCCCAGTCATAGACGCCAGAGTAAGCCGAGTCAAGGGCTAGGGTATCTCAGGCAGACAGCCTTCAAGTGAACCCCATCCTTTCTCAAGGGGTGGGGGTCTTGTCCTCTCCCCATCCACATGCCAGCCCTGGGACCTCAGAATAATTGGTGTTTGGGTGTCTTCACTTGCCTCAGCACCCCGGAGACTTTGCAGGGCCAAACACAAGGTGCTGGGGGGTTGGAGGGAGGCAGCCCCCTGGGAGCAGTTCTTTGAGCCCCTCTCTGCGGGGCTGGACTAGGAGGCTGGTGCCCCCAGAGGTCTTCAGTCCCAGCCCACCTTGAGGCTGAGAGTTGAGGGAGGTGGCAAAGGGGCTGGTGACACCTCTCTTCTTTGGAAAGGGCCAGCATAGTAAGAGATGGCACTTGGCGCGTGTCCCTGCTCCAGGGCCAGGGTGCACTCAGTGAGAGAGATGGTAAGGGATAGATGTGGGATGACTAGCCCAGAAGCGGGATCCAGTCCTGTATTTGCCAGTTAGAAGGCATCGCCACCCTAGACCTCAGGTGCTCTGCTCCCAGGGGTCCCCATCTCGGGGCTGGGGCCTCTGCTCCTCCTCCCGCTGACCTAGGTCACCTGGGTTCCATCACACCAGAGGCCGAGCCAGGACAGAAATCCGGGTCCTGCAGGATAGGGCGGGCTGTCCAGACAGGAAACGGAGGCCGGCCATGCGGCTCCTGCCCCATCCTAATCCCCTGATTTGCTCGCCATCAGCCTCTCAGCAAACACACGGCCTGCCAGCGTCTAGGGGCTTGTCACCCTGTTAGCGGATTTGTTCGCAGAGGCGTCGCAGCTAATTGGCCTTTTATGTGGGGATCAGGGAGTATTTGCTCAGGGTTCCCTGAGTGGAGGCTGCCAGGCAGCCCCTGGGCAAGGCTGCTTCTCCATCTCCATCTTCTGGGTTTGGAGGCTGGACAAATGCTGGGGTCCCTCTCCTTCCTTCCTTCCTTCCAGGACTCCTCCGGCCCACATCTCCTATACCTCTTCTGCACCTTCTCCACACTTTTCCCACTCCCCACTTTTATGCTTCTTTCTCTCTGGTCTTTTTCTCTCTGCACTTCTCTGTATCTCTGGGATGCTCTCCCTTTAAACCAACTCAGACCTACTGCCACAAGAGGGTGGAGCACTCTAGTGGGGTGTACTGGGGAATAAAAACCTCCCCCCATAGCCTCAGTTCCTCCCCCCCAATCTATGTCCCTAAACCGCTGGCCCAGTAGGGGGCGGGGCAGAGTGGGTGGAGTCAGCCCCACAGGGGTCACACCCGCCAGCTCTACTTCAGTCCTGGCCCTGCACCTTCTCAAGGCTAAGCCTCTCTCTGGTTTGTGACCATAGGCCGTTCTGGAAGTAGTTTCCCTCCCTATCTCCTCACTCCCTGCCCACTCCCCCCAAATTACCCACCCAACTCTGCTTCTCCTCTTGCTTAGAGAGGGTAGGCAGCTCACTGCATCTGCTCCCATCCTTACCCTGCAGACTACAGGCACTTGGGTAGCACCCAGAACCAGGGCCCTCCAGCTACATGCACTGTGACTGCAGGGCCCTTACTCGGGCTCAGGTTCCATCCAATTGATTTGTAAGTTTCCTCGGGCTGAAGAAAGAATCAGAGTTGAGTTCAGAACCCTCCCCCGCCTTCTGCTGCCCCAGGAAACTGCTTCAAGGGTTTTATCCATAACAGTCTGCACTTTAGAAAAGGGAGAAAAGAGAAAAGGAGGGTGTGAAGGGAATTGGCAGAAAAAGGAGCGAGTAGCAGGAGGCAGGGTGGCTGGGAGAGTTGAGTGTGTGGAGGTAGAGGGTAAGTTCATTCTGATAGTGTTATGGCATCTGGGAAGAAGTGTCTGTATGTATGTGTCTGTGTGCATGTGTGTGTGTCTTTGTGTGTGTCTCTCTGTGTGTGTCTATGTATGTGCTGGGGGAGAGAACAGTTACCCACCAGGCCAACTTTCTTGTCCCAGTGCCAGCACCCTGGCCAGGGAATGTAGCTGGGAATTTTCAGTGCCCAGGTTGGAGGCTGTGTGGGAGGCTTCTTGGTGGTCCCAAGCCCGCATGCCAGCTGGTAGCGGCTGAAGCTGCTGGCATGTAATTTCCCCAGAGGGCAGTCTGAAGACAATCCTGCCCCCATCTCGTACTGATTACTGCCACTGTCTCTCCCCAACACACACACACACACACACACCGCCTAGTCCATTTACAACCCCCTAGACTACAGCCTGCAGCTTCCCATCACTCTCCCTGCCTGGACCCCTTCCCAGGGCACTGATACACACTGAGCATATGTGTGTATTTTGGTGGGGGCGGGGAGACAAGAAACTAACATCTGTCCCCCACCCTCACTGGGCCATGCCTGTGAGTGGGCAGCAGGGTCGCTGGCTTCAGAGTTCTGATGATGCCAGGGGGCAGTGGCCAGCCAGCAAGGGCCAGAGGATCACGCAGGAGGGGAAGTCAGAAAGCAAACGGCATCTGCAGGAAAGCAGACGGCAGGAGCCCGCCCCTGGCCGGAGCCAGGGTCTGCTGGCTCAACCCCTGTAGCTGCTGAGATAAGCAGCCAGCCCCCCTGCCTAAGAGTTCCCCCGGCCCCACAGGGTTCCGTGGGGGAGCCTCTGGGGAGATACTTTGCAACTCACTCCAGCAAGTCTGGAAATCTGGAGGCAACTGGGCGGAAGTGTGCACATCCCCGTGCGAACAGGACAGCGGCTGGGGAACAAGAGCGTGCTGGTTCCTTATATAAAACTTGGTACAGAGCAAGCCCTCCATGAAGACTGGTTTAGTGAAAACTTCTAGGCCAGTGATGGCGAACCTTTTGAGCTCGGCGTGTCAGCATTTTGAAAAACCCTAACTTAACTCTGGTGCCGTGTCACCTATAGAAATGTGTTGATCTTTGCAACCACAGTAAAACAGAGACTTATACTTTTGATATTTATTTTATATATTTAAACGCCATTTAACAAAGAAAAATCAACCCCAAAAAAATGAGTTCGCGTGTCACGTCTGACACCCGTGTCATAGGTTCGCCATCACTGTTCTATGCACTTGTCAGTCCTTACAATGGGCCCCTCAGAGCCTGCTGCCTTCTCTGCCTCTCTCCACCTCCCTGTGAGCACGCCCCTCCAGTCAGTTTCTGGGAGGTGTTCCATCAGCCCTGTGCCCCCTGCCACCTCCCTTGCCACTGCCTTAGTCCAGGTTCTCACCGTCTTTCACTCTAACTATTGCACCCAGTCTCCCCCTGAGAACCCACCCTCTGCACTGCTGCCTTGGGGAGTTGTCCTGTTATTTGTTCAACCCTGTTTAGGAAGCACCTACTAAGTGCCAGACACTCAGCTACATGCTTGTCTCTAATGTTCAGAGCTGATCATGTCACTGGCCCACTTAAAATATACTGGCGCCTCAATTCCTGCAGGGTAGACCCCACACATGTGGCAACAAGGATCACCATAGTCTGCATGCTGTCTGCCCTCCCAAGATCTCCTTTCCCCCTCCGCCCTCCCCTCTGGCCATCTATGTCCCACCACCAAACTACTTTCTATGATTAATGTGCGGTGCTCTCTCTACTTTTATGCCTTTGCTCATGCCCTTCCCTCTTCCTGAAATCCCTCTCCCCTCCATTCTCCACCTGCTGGCTCCTTTCATCCTGGCAATCCCACTCCAGTCATCCAATTAGTGAGTCCTCCCTGACTCCCCCAGACTATGGGGTCCTCCCAAACCACTTGGTTTATTCCTCTGCTGCATAACTTAGGATGTTTTAATGTTTTGCTTCCATGTCTATCTTTCCCCATAAGCTGCAACTTCCCCTTAGAGAGCAGGAACTACATCTTATTCCCCGTCTGAGGACAACCCTGCCCCTCATCTCATACTGATTACTGCCTGTGGGGGAGCTTGTGGGGGCGCCACTTTGCAACTCACTCCAGCAAATATATTTTTTAAAAATATTTTTATTGATTTCAGAGAGGAAAGGAGAGGGAGAGAGCGATAGATACATCAGTGATGAGAGAGAATCATTGATCGGTTGCCTCCTGCCTGCCGCCTACTGGAGATTGAGCCCCCACAACCAGGGCATGTGCCCTGACCGGAAATTGAACCGTGACCTCCTGGTTCCTATGTTGATGTTCAACCCCTGAGCCACGCTGGCCAGGCTCTTATTCACCTTTGTACCCCTGGTGCCTGACATGGTGTGTAGCATGTAGTCGGTACTCATTTCATGTTAATGAAGATATGAGTTATAGTAGATAACATCTCCTGTGAACTTACTATTGCCAAGGCTGTTCTAACTGGGTTACTCATTTAATTCTCCTAGAAACTCTATGAATAGCTACTGTGGTTGCCTTCGTTTACACATGGGGAGACGGGTACAGAGTGGTTAAGTAACTAACCCAAAATCACTTGGCTAGTAAATAGGGAGTCCAGAATTTAAATGCAGGCTGACCCTACACCTGTAGGCCTTGTATACCACATATCACTCAGGCTGGCCCTACACCTGAAGGCCTTGTATACCACATATCACTCAGGCTGGCCCTACACCTGAAGGCCTTGTATACCGCATATCTGTGAAAGACCTGCATCTGGGGGTAGCGGAAGGAAGCCTCCCCCTGCTCCCCTCCTCTCCACAACGTTACTCACATATATATAATTCTAGTAACAGAATGACTTCTAGAGTCCTCTGCTGAGTATAATCCACTAAGACCGCCAGATCTTTTTCTATCATTCTGTTTTTAGTTCCTAAATCCCTTAGTCCCTGCTACCCATCAATTATTAAACCTGCTGCTCTTTGCATTTGCTCATTTCTGTAAATGCTGGCACTTTTGCAGTTAGTCAGAAGCGGACTCTATTCTTTATCACTCTCCGTCTCAATTTGTCTGTCTTCATGCCCCCTTTCCTCCCCCCCTCTCTCTATGTAGGTGAGCACCAACTTCGCAAAGGAAGAGGTGCATTAATATATTCAAATCCCCTACATCCAAAGAAAGATGTCCCCTTCTTCAATTAAAAAGGATATTCCCTCTCCTCCAATGATTTACATTCAAAGGAAGATGCATTTGCATTTAATACATATGTGAATGCCTTCCCACCCTACACCACTGAGTCTTTAGTCTGTGTTTTTTGGGTTGCTTGTGTGGCTGTTGGAAGATGTATTTGTATTCCTGAACACTGGGCCTATCTCCAGTATCTGCAGGGACCCTTCCGCCCCGGAGTCCCCCTTCCCACATTGACCTTCTTACATCATCAAGGGCCTCCTTACATCATCAAGGGCCTTCTTACATCATCAAGGGCATTGTTTCAACAAAATATCCTGGAGCTAAATTCCTTGAAGTAAAGATGACTCCAAGATATCTCTGGGTTTCCCCAGAGAAGTGCAGTCTGACCTGGAAAAGTTCAGCCTCACTGTGACCTCACTCCCATCTGCACAGTGAGTAGGATGCAACTAGATTTTAGGGTCATGAGGAGGAGTCACTCCTCTGACAAGTCATGGGAACGTGCTTTTCCTTTCCTCCCTTTCTTGTGTCCCTCTCCTTTCCCCATTGCGTCCCTTTCATGTCTCTCCTTCCATCCTCCCTACCCCCATCCTGCTGCCAGTTCATGTTTAAAGCCTTACCTCCTAGGCCCTGATTGCATCGCTCATACATATTCAACATTTCCTAGAAGCAACCTCGGAATGCTACTGCACCATTCGGTGTGTTCCCCCATCTAATCAGCAACGGGGCCAGGCTTTTCTCAGGGTCGCTTGCCTCCACCCCCTGAGCCCTGCGCTCATCAGCGTGGGGCCTTATTTCCTCCCCACGGTCTTAATCATAAAGGGACTGCCCACTGTGGCTTTGGTGCCCCTATGGAGTCCCGTCTTGATAGGCCCCGAGACCCTGTCTCTAAATGTGAGAATTTTCAAATATTCTGTGATGAGAAGGTTTACCTACTCCATGGCAATAACCTGGCGTCTGGAGAGGAGAAAGAAAGCTAGGAATGGACCTGGAGTTATGATCCAGCTAGAAAAATTGTAAGCACTGTACGTGGCACACAGAAGGCATTTAATACACACTTTAGTTGTGCTGAGTGATTTCCTATCTGTACTAATAAAAGTGTAATATGCTGATTAGACTGGACGTCTTCCGGACGACCATTCGGATGTCCTTCCTGACAAAACTGGGCCTGGGCGAAGCCATCCGCCTATGGTCCGGGCGCCAGTGGCTGCAGCTGCAGCCCGGGAGAGGGAGAAGCCACCCACCCCATGGTTCCCTTGGGCTGTGGCTGGCCCAGGCTAAGCTGACCCGAGTCCTGGGTGCCTGCGGCTGACCAGAGGGAGGGAAGCCTGGGTCCCAGGTGCCTGTGGCTGGCCAGAGGGAGGGAATCCTGGGTCCCAGGTGTGGGGCCGAGGCAGAGGCAGTTAGAGGCGATCAGACAGGCAGGCAGAGAGGTTAGGGGTGATCAGGCAGGCAGGCAGGCGAGCAGTTAGGAGCCAGTGGTCCCGGATTGCGAGAGGCATGTCCGATTGGTCCTAAACTGGCAGTTGGACATCCCCCGTAGGGTCCCAGATTGGAGAGGGTGCAGGTCTGGCTGAGGGACCCCCCTCCCTTCCCATGCACAAATTTCATGCACCAGACCTCTAGTATGCATATAAAAGTAGAAAATACAACGAAAGTGTAATCAGTGGTTGAATTAGATGTGAAGGTATAGGTATAATTTTTCCATCTTTCTTTCCCCCATTTAAAAATATTTTGTTATTAATAATGAAAAATATAAAAGTATCCATTTTAAAGGGTTAATTGGAGAAAGCTGGCAGGCAGCTTATGTGTGGAGGGGTCTCTTCAGTACACAGAGCTCCTGCCTCGATGGGCACCCGGAACAGCTCCAGCCCAGGCAGCGCCCAGTCTCTCCGTTCCTCCTTTGGTTTGGAAGAAGGACCAGCAAAGCTGTTAGTGTTGAGGGGAGGGGGCACAGCGAGGCGGGAACAGGAAGAAAGTGCAGGGCAGCAGAGAGTGGAGGTCCCTTTGCAAAGATCCTCCCCAAACTCTCTCCTAAGATATTTGAAACAGATCTTAGCTGGGCTGGGCTTGAATCCTTGCAGAGACAGGGAGCTCATACGCTGATGGGGAAGCGGGTACAGGAGGAGGCAGCACCAGCGCAGAGAACGGCTCTTGT